CTACCCCAAAATAAAATTAGCAAAATATTATAATAATCTTTGACATCTATTTTTACATTTGAACAACTGGACCACACATTTTCGGTTTTGTTTTGTCATAGTGTATGTGTATGTCATTTATTGTAATGATCTTGGATCTTCTTAGATCAAACAAGTGTAGTAATTTGCTATATTAAAAACATCTTTTTGTGTCAAAATTGAAACATTATTTTAAATTTAAAATAAAAAGCTTAATTTAGATTTTAGAATGTTGATTATTGTTTTTCATCTATATATACAGGTATTTACATATTCCGTTTTCCAATCTTTCTCAGATTTTTGGTTAGTAATTAATTTTCTGATGTTTACAGATTTTGTTTCTAGTTTTTACTGATCAAATTTGATCCCAATTATATTTTTGTCTATTAATCCTTGGTGATTAAAATATACAAAAAAATAGCAAGATTTATTAGATAATAATAGATCAAAGGTTATATATATATATATATATATATTGGTTAGTTCGCTGTGTTATTCACGTTGGATTTGCATTTAACTATGAAACCATATTATATGCTAGTTAAAGCTGCATAAATGTAGTCTATAATCCGGAAGGGGACAAACCTATGGTTTTCACTCAAGCGGAATGTATGAAAGTGCCTTAAGTTTGAATATGTAGACTTAGGACCAATTTAAAGTAATTCACTTTTATAAAAACAAAATTGCTGCTCATATCTTTGCAGCAACTTTGAAGCACAAGATTTTCCCATTTATATATAAAGGGGTTAAAAATTACTAGACCCTATAACATTCAAGACAAGATAGATTCCAAACTAAAATATTTATTGATAAATACAGATATTCTAATGCTTGAAATTATTGTGGCAAAGGACATATTCACCCAAAAAGACAGGCAAAAAGATTTGCCTAGGCATCATTTTTTCCTCCTTTCTCCTTCTGCCAATTTATAGGTCCAAGAAGATATTGGGGGTACATTAACAGAGAGAATCCATTGGCTACATTGCATCTAGATCCTAATCTTACAACCAAATATAATGAAAACCTCAAAGCATTTAAATATTTTATGTTTTTTGGAATGCTAGAAAAAATGCCACAATTATCCGCCCTTATGAGAGATGAATAATCCTAAAGTTATACCATTTGGATCAACTGTGGTAGTTATACTTGAAGTAATATTTCAATTTTTCCAAATTCGCAGGATTTTTACTTTGTTTGGGAGGAATTATATATCAGAAGTGTCTGATAGGACCTAAGATATAATACAGTAGGTATGAATCAATTTATTCATTGCTACTAAGTTTTGAGTTGAAAGTACAAAAGTTTAACTAACAAAGAAAAAATTACCATTTGTTAATATAAACCACATATTACCCCAAAAGAACAAAACAGAAAGCCACGTCAGACCCTGCAAGTGCTGTTAGCACACGTATAATATGATGAACTCCAAGTGTGATTTGAGAAAATCATGAAATTTTTTACAATCATATTTCTTACTATCACTATGCTTATTTTTTTTATAAATGTGGTCATATACCATTTAGAACCATCTATTATTTGTTTGAAAAACTAAATGTGACATTTTCAAAACCATAAGAGGAAACAAAAATATCTTTCTCATCAATTTAAACCACACCATAATGGAGACAAATATAAAATCAAGATGTCCGGAACATCACCTAGGATATCTCTTATCCCTATACCGAATTACATCCGACAAAATGCAAATAGAGAAATTAGGCAACCAAAAACCGAAGCTTCATGAGGACTAGCCACTCGAATAGTGACACACACAAAAAAACTTTAAAAATGAGAAATATAATTGGGTAAACGAAGAGGAAAAAAACTCTAATCTCACGTGCTAGTGAGACAAAACAAGGAGACATAGACAAGATATGTTCCAAGAAGATCCAAAGCATTCCTCGTGACACTGTTCCTATCTCCTATCTTCATTTCTTTTTCATCTTCTTCCTATTTCATCTTCTTCTTCCTGGGGGACCAAAAACACTTAAACATATATAAGGTCATTTTTCTTTTGTCATAGTCTATTGAGAGAGATATACTAGATTGATTGTATCTATATATGGTTTCGGTATCTGTCGTCAATTTTCAACGCTTGATATGTTCGCATAAGAAATTTATGTAGAGTTTCCTTACGTATGGATGGGTTTGTTGATTTTATTATCTTATCTCTAATGTTTAAGATTTTCCTTTTTCCAATCGTTCCATATGATTGTGAAATGAATAGCCATACATATATGGTTTTTGACGGATTATTTGAACCTCATCATAAATAAACATGAAAACATGTCTAGCCACTGCAAAATCACGTTGAAATGGACTATTGAATATTTTGCGTTGTCCCTAATTTTTCGTAACTTATAGATAGATTAGTGTAAATATTATTATCGCTAAATGAGTTACATAAATAAAAACCATTAACGATGCTTTAGATACAAAAAAATAAAGATGATCGCTAAATGTTTAGAGATTCCTTTACTACTAAACAGTTTATTTATTAATTTTTTATAAAAAAATTACTAAACAGCTTGTTGTATTGTACAAGATTTTAAACGATGTCAGGAAATACTAAATTAACTGTTGAGATTGGTCTAGCGCATGTAATTAATCTAATAGTAAAAAAGGATCTATAGAGATAACTTGTTAATGAATGTGAAATCAGAATCAGTTCGATATCGAAAGAATTTAGTATTTTTACTATTCAGCATACGTTGCACCCGGGTCGCAGATACCCGATCATTTAGGTCATACATTTAACCGGTCATAAGATGGAAAACTATCAATAGTGTGACTCTCTTTTTTTTTTAATCACCCAATTAAGTAAAGACTGGAAAAACTTTCAACACCTTAATTAGTGGAATGCTTAATTGAGTTGCATTCGTGTCTCAATCGAAATTTGGACTATGTACATTATTGCACGTAATGTATTTGTTTCACTTGTGCTGCCTGTCTATCAATCTTACGCTAACATGCATAATTCTCAAACACCGCAACTAAATTTTATACCGTGTTTTACTATATTATAATGTTACACATGTCTTAAAAATGATAAAATATAGAATATTTCCATATTTCAATATCAAATGATATAAATAATTACTTACAAGGCTTACCCTTTGCAAAGACAAATAAATCTTCTTTTGTTCAAATTCTTATTTAAAACATCAAATGTAACATAAAGGAAAAAATACTTAAAACATCAATTATAAATTTTCGCACATGTTATATATAACTTGGATTCAAATTATTGCTGTGCATGGCTTTTTTATATATTAAGATTTATATCTGTGATTCGCGTACTGATTTGATTGATAAGCAAGTTTCTTTGGCTTTGTCGGTCAATCATGTTAAAGAATCCAAACCGAAGTCCGAAACATGAAGTAGTTCACACAGTTCGGTTGTTCGACGTAGAAATCAAATTTGGAATCTGTAAGAGTTTCACGCTATGAGATCTTAATTAGATTGTCAACCCCAAGCTACCACATGTGGATTTGCATAGACGGGAAAAAGACCTTTCGATCATACGCAATAGAGAACTGAACCAGATTCGAAGCCGATCGTTGAACGGTGGTACTGTATAAGAGGGAACATCACAGCTAATCAAGTTCTCGAATACACCAATTAATATAGTCTCCGACCAATATTTTTATTTGTACTATCAAATCAGACAGAAAGTAGCATCTACAACACTAGCCATTCGTCGTCCGAATCATTAAGTCAGTGACTTTTCATACAGTATATAGTAAATATATAAACAGTCAGAAGATTTTCTTAAATCGGATCTTATAGTTAAGTAAAACTGGTATAGAAATCGTAGCCACTAAGTGAATACTATATTATAGTCGCCAAGAATACATCTGATAAATTTTAGCCGACGTTGAACTCTACACTAGAGCACTTATTTAAACATATTTTTTTTTTTTGACAGAAGAACAAAAATAAAAAAAAAAACAAAGTTTTGAGAAGGAACCAAATGTATGTGTTGTTATAATTATGCCGATAAATCCCGACAAGAAAACATTAGAACTAGCTAGAGCATCATTCATCACGTCATTGTACTTGAAAAGATAATTAATTGCTAACCCAAAAAATTTTAAAATAAAAATGAATTGTGTAATCTTTAAAATAAAATATGATGTAAGTGTTATGTTGCTTACTGGTCAAGTCATGGATTTACTAGCTAACTAAATTTTGGCCGAAAAGATTGATTACAATTCAAATAATAAGCCAACGAAAACCATTATCTTAATTCATGCCTTTTGTTCGGCAAGAATCAATTCGTTAACTTGTCATAGTATTCGATTAAGCAACCGTATATACATATATGTAATTTGTTAACAAATTTACGCAATTTTTGAATCAGCATATAGGTTTATTTTATGTATGTGTATATATTATATTTTATTTTAAATGTGCAAAAATATGTAGACCAAGGGAATCGTTTGAAAGGAGATGTGGATAAGATATTAATTAGTTCTGGCATATATTCTCCCTGACAAAACTACATAATTTCCCTCATTTTCTCCGACTTTTTTGTAATCCGAGCATCATCTACACCAATTCTACAAGAAAACATAGATAAGGATGTGACATCAATATATTAAAGAAAATGAAAACAAATAAAGAAAATGTAAGAGCTAGAGGCTGAGATAACATAATTGTTTGCTTGTATATTTGTATTTTTATTTTGTACTTGTTTTTTCCATTATTATTGACTGTATATACATCTTGTAGAAAATATATAACTGAAATTCTGTTCTCCCATACAAATAATACCTAATTATCTCCAGCTATATAATTTTCAAAAGTCAAACCAAGCAGCTTAATTATTTTGTTTACTTTAACACCACCAAGCCTTCTCAAAACGGATTGTATTGATCAAAGTAACCTAAATGGATAGAGTTTTTTGGGCTTAGAAAGGAAACCATTTTTGGCCCATATAAAGTAAAATTCAAATTAATATTAATTATTTTCCACATTCCCCGAAAACCAAAAAAAGCCACGGGAGAGAGAGACGAAGAAGAACAGAGGAAGGTCAAGCGACGAGAAAGACGAACCATAGGAACGAGAATCTACGGATACTGTATACGAAATACGTATACGAATACGTATAATCGTGTGTACTTGTACTCATTTCTCTCAACGTAGCGTTAGAGACAGTAGTTCCTCCCAGAAGCCCTCCGATTCCGGCGAATAAGCATTTCCGCCTCGCGAACCTAAGCCGTGAGTGTTTCATTTTTCCCAGTTGATTTTCCCGGGAAAGTTATCGTTTCTCGTTTAATTGAGTATCTTATTGGCATTTTGGAATCTAGGTTTCTACCTTCGTCGTTCTGTTTGTGTTAGGTTTTCGAAGAATTTGTCCTTTCTTTTGTGTCTCTGGGGGTTTCTCGGGATATGTTGTAATCGTTGATTCTTGTTTTCGTGTAAATATTTGATGATTCAATCTTTGAATTTCATGAAATGAAACTTGCTATGGTTAGTTAACAAGAATCGATTCTTTTATATTGTCGTTTTCTTATTTATGGATTTGACATTTTGGAATATATCTAAACATGGCCGCCAAAAATTCCGACTGTAGAAGATCCTATAAACCATTTTTCATCATCTTTTTGAACTATATGAAGCCTCGAATTATAAAAAATTTGTTTAGAGTATATGTTATGGGTTGAAGATCAGTCTACTCTTAAATCAATTTCCATAACAATGACAACTTTTTCAGTTACCGAAGTGTTTGATTGAACAGAAATGGCAATTTTTTTCCTTAAGTAAAAGTTGTAGTGTGAGTAACAGAATTAGTGGGGTTAGAGATCTCGTTTTGTTGGTATATGAATGTTAGATTGTTCTGAAGGTTCATAAACATGTGCTTTGGTATAAGATAATGATTGAAGTTTCGCTTTGTGTAAGTTACTGTAAATATAATGTAACTATGAGCACATCAATGAAACCAAATAAGATACTTTGTTTCTGTTTCTTTTTTTTTCGCCAGAGGACAATCATTGATCAAGAAGCTTTCATGGATATTCCAGGGAATATGGACCAACTGAATCAAGGCTCGAGCTCGGATTTTACAAATAAGCGAAAAAGGGGTCGTCCTTGCAGAGAAGAAAGCCAGGCTCATCAACGAGTGAAGCCACCTGTTACTAGCATCGATGAGGATCTGATAGGTCAAGTGGTTTCTGGTGTTGTTGAAGGTTCTTTCGAGGCAGGTTACTTTCTCAACGTTAAGGTCGCTGACACGGATAAGCAATTGAAAGGACTCGTCTTCTTACCAGATAAAGTCACTCCGGTTACTCCAACGACTGATTTGTTTCCCCAAGCTAAGATGTATGCAAGAGAAGATATCCTATTTCGCTCTCCAAACCAACAAACTCTTCCTCAGGGGAAGAAAAACGCTGGGAACCAAACTGATGACATTGGTTCTTCTGAGCGTCAAACCGATGTTCATCCAATGAGCGATGCTATTGATGAGATGAATCATCCTATGGATACAGAGATGAAAGATGTTGGTGGTTCTTCTGCAGAGGAGAAACACGATGAACTTGAAGGCCAAACCCTCTCTCTGATGCCTCAGTTTGGTAGTGATGATGTACACAAAAAGGATCACACTCTTCTGACATCTGAAGCTTGTGAAGCAAGTAAGACAGACACTACTACTTCACCTAAAGATTCAGATGCTGAAGGTTGTACCACTACTTTCGTTGATTTCTTTCCAGCATCTGCAACAAATCGAAGCCAAGCCACGGGATCCAGCTCTACTTTGAGCCTCGAACTCTTTCAGAACGAGACTAAAGGGGTGGGAACTGAGGAGGAGAAATCTCCTGCGGATGGTGAACTTCGTGGACTCGTGGAGAAATCTCCTGCGGCTTCTCCCGTTGATGATGTCCCAGAGGAGCTTCAGCTCGAGCTTGGCAACAAGAAGATGAGTGGTGCTTCAGCCATTGCTACTGAAGCAAATCAGTCTGTTTCATCAAAAGGTGGGTTTTTGGCGAATTTGTTTGAAGGAAGAGAAGAGACGTCGAATAAACCAGAAGAAACTAATGCAGGTTCGGAGAGTGGTGGCTTCCCAGAGGCAACAACACAAGTAGATGGTAATGATTCTTGAGAAGTGAATGGCAATATCAAAGAAGCGGTTGGTATTATTCAGAACTGAACAGCTTTTGTTTTTCTTCTCTTGCTTAGAATAGTTAGAAAACTTATCAGGCTCTCTCATCTTCTCTGTTTAGTGGCATTATGTTTTTGCTCTTTTTGCCAACAAAAACACATTTTGGATAAATCTTTTGCCTTAGGTATTTTTTTCACTTCACGTTTATGCAACTTTGGTGGTTATTTCACATTCCCAATTTCAGGAAGAAAATACGAAAAAACAGATGAAATTTCTTTCTTTAGTTTTTTTTTGTATTTTTCGTTTTCAGCAGATATTTTTGTGTTTTGACGCAGAGGTGGCTTCGGAAAATCCCAAAAAGGTTAATGGATTGCTAATGTAGGTCAAATTCGAAGCCCATAAATTAAATAATTAAGCTGTAATCTGGATTTACTAATAGCCATCTCTAGGTTGACTTTCTCTCATGGGCTGAACTGTGGTGGTGAAGCCTTCATGTCTTTTAGGAAGTTCTGATCCAAGAATACTTCAGCTGACTCTGGATTTAACCTGCCTGGTAGGCTTCCTTTAAGATCGTACAAAGTGGAGAGGTATCAATGTTGACATGAGATTTTCCATAACAAATTATCTTTATGGAAAATCTCATGTTCAAATGCAACTTATGAAGTGTATTCAAAATAGAATTTAGAGTGATTTGTGTCTAAATTACAAATCATTTATTATTAAAATATAAATTTTAAAAAATTGTTTAAAATTTAGTGTTATTGAACTAGTGATTTGAAATCAGATATAGGTGCGGTCAGGACCATACCTATATAGAATTAAAAGAAGTACTCGCCTACATCAAATAATTTTGTATACAACTTAAAAAGCTATATTTGTAATTATGCTTATGTCAAATAATTTTATACAAAATTTAAGAAGCCATATTTGTAATTATGTTTATGTTGTATTTCTTTTAATATCTCTTATATAAATTCAAAACACAATCTATGTATAATTTTTAAATAATCTATGTATAACTTTTAAATGTAAGTATTTAAATCCATATCTTAACTCGCTAATTTATAATGAGTTTTAAAAAAACATATTAAATTTGTGTTCTCAATGGTAAATTGATTTTTCTACAGCATGGATAGTTGCCATTTAAACTTTCTGCTATTGATTTAGTTTACTGAATTATTTTAGAATATTAAAGTGGTTGAAAAAAAAATTGTTGCCATTTTATTTTAATGTTCTGTTTATCAACATTTTCATGAGTTTTTTTTTTTATATTTGTGTATTTATATTTTTTTTATAAATTATGATATATGAAATTTTTTTTTTTTTGTTTTGCCTACGGCCTCAAAACCTTTAAGCACGGCTCTGGGTGCGGTGTCATCACCTGAATATGCCAAGTCATCATCCTCAAGTTCGTGATCTTAGAAAACATTTGGAGCTTCTGGAGATGGAGTAGAAGCAGCATCCTCGCTGATGCGAACATCTGTTTGATCATTCTCCTCATCTTTGCCATTGCTAGACATATATGAATTGCAATAAGCCGGCTGCAATTCTTACCATCTTTGAACCTGCAAAATTTTCGTTATAAGCAACCAATTATATCAAACTGTAAAGTACCATAGCTCACATGTAAAATTCTGAGTTTTTCAACTTCCAACGCTTATGAAATCTAAACCATGCAGAATGAATTTTGTTACTTCCTTCAGTAAATATTCATTGTACAAAACATACCTTTCATATGGCTCTTCAATCTTTCATATAGCTTTTGTAAAACTTTAGCAACCAGCATATGTTTTGAATGATGCTGTTGCTTGCAAAAGCAGAAATAAATGTCAAAACCTTAAAATCAACTTTATCTGTTGCAGTTTGCTCTTCGCCATCAGAAGAATCGTCAGTGCCGCAAGACATATCATCGACCACATGATTTGAGTTAGGGCTGTGCTGTTTGTGGAGTTTCACCGGCTTCAGTCCCTAGGTCCATTGGTCCATCCTCAGTAGAAACTGTTGAATCAACCATCGGTACGCTTTTTGCGGTGCCAGCTTCGTTTGATGTACATGGCTGAAAACCTTTCACCAAAAACTTACAGTCACAGTCTACAATCCTTACTAATCAGAGCCATGGCAAGCTTACTACTATTTTATCCTTACATTAGGCTAAACGAAGGCTATATGACAAGCTTACTACTTTTCTTTTTTCCTTTCTTTTTCCAAAGATTGTCGATGTAGAAGGATAAAAAAAATCATAAATGTATAAGAACATAAAGTTCAACTTGTTTCCTCGGGGTCAAAATTTCTGGCTAATAAGTCAGAACAAAATTATAAGACCGAAAAAAACAGAGATTGTATATATTAATTATTAAAAAAAAATTGGAGGATTATGATTGTCTTCTTTCCCTGTTATGAGTTAGATCTAAAAATTCATAACTTAATTATTTTTTAGTGGATCCCAATATTTGTCGTTTTTTGTAGAGCATAACATAGAAATAAAATGTTAAGAGAATAAAACAAAATAAGAGAAACTAATTAAAATGATTGTAGGCCAAAACCAGGTAATGTTGAGTTATGATTAATTTGGTTAAAGACAAAGACGTATCCCAAAAAGAAATGAGATCTCAAAGTGTGAGTTCTTACTGGTTTGGCCCTTTGACGATATTCAAAGGTTAATGCAATGAAAAGTGTTTTTGTTCTTCAAACCGTATATCGTCTCATTCTTTCTTTGTCCGTCCCATCACAACTCAATGTTTTTTGGAAATATGTACTTTTAAGTTAAAAATTAGAAAACCACTTGTTAAAAATGATATCAAAATTGTTGATATAGTTCAGAATTATACATGCCAAAGATGTATAAAACCCCTCAGAGACCTAACTCAAACTCGCTGCCAAAAATACTAAATCAACTGTTTAAATTGATCATGCTCTTATAGATATATGAACCATAGTGAGTTTTTTTTTAAGATATAAATAGTTACTGATCAACTTAGAGTCAAAAGTGATTTATGTACATTCTAAACATACACTGATATATAACGGCAGTTTAGTAGCCGAAATTAAAAATAAGAATAGGTTTTCAGTACACACAAATTGTGTTTGGTTGTATTAGACACAATTTTAAACCAGTGCATAAACCGCAATCATTTATCAAAACATAAAAGTTTGTAGTTCAATGACAAGGGAGGGGAAGAAGAAGTTCTCAATGCCAATTCCAAAACAGAAGGACGCATATATAAACTAGCTTTCGTCTTCCAAAATTGCAAAAAAATAGTATAGAGTTTAGGTAGACATTCAGAGATTTCTGATCTATTGCAAATAAGACCATATGTATTCTTATTTCATGGACTGTCAAATCTTCTTCATCATCTGCTTATTAAGACATAAAGGTATGATTGCCTTGTAGTAACGACAAGAATGAGGCCTGAAATGAGTCTTGTTACAGTGTCATTACCGTACGCTGTTGCCTGTCTTGCATCTCTTTTAATTGACCAAACTAGAGTGTTAAAACATTTGTTGGTTCTGCATTAATTTCAGGGATGGTACTGACATAGTCCGGTATGATACTGACATAGTCCGATTCAAGTATTTTACTCTTCATTATTGAGAAACCATCAAGTTTCATATCAGCAAGCATTAACATTTCGGGTAATGGGACCACTGGATTACTAAATTGGTTTACGCAGACCATCAATTTTCATCTTAAAATTTATGGATTACCTTTCGATTACTAAATCAGTTTAGCACCAAACCTAACATTTGTGGTATTTTTGGAATTCTAAGAATTTTCATTGTAATTTTGGAAAACCAAAAACATAAAATGGGATATTTTGTAAATTATCAATATAAAAATGTGACTAAAAATGCTCCATGCTTTACTATTTGTTGTTTGACAAAATTAAATTATAGAATTAAGGTTGGTATAGCGTTTAGGCTTTGATATTTACAAATGCAAGACAAGATGATGGCCTAACTTCTTAGACGTGGATACAAAAAAACCAATAAAAAACAAAAACTTAGTGGATTATATACGTCAATAATAATAAATCCATGCAAAGACTATTGTTCACGCAATCCATATCATTCTTTAACTTTCATTATCAACAAATGGGGGGAGACTTCGGATCAAAATCTGTCTTAATTATCATAGTATGTGGCAGAGCAGAATATTGTTTTATATTTGAAAAATCATAGTAGAAGAACCTTAACATAAACGGACATGGCAAGACATCAACGTCTGGTCTGAACCGTGGCTGTCTACGAAGATCTCCCAAGCTCCGATGGGTCCCCCTACAAGAGAAAATGCGAACCTAACAGTCAAGGACCTGCTGCATCAGGATTCATATAACTGGAATATAGAAGCGATTCAATCCCACTTACCTCAATATGTGGATACCATCAAATTGCTGATCCCGAGCACAACAAAACCTCCGGACAAGCTAGTATGGTTACCTGCTAAATTAGGACAATTCTTAACCAAGTCAAGATACAATCTCCAAAAAAGCTTCAATCACTACGAAAGTACAGAGTTTAGCTGGTACCAATATGTTTGGAACATTCACGCCCCCAACAAAATCAAGCATCACTTCTGGAGATCCCTGAACGGAGCGCTCCCGGTGGGAGCTAACCTTCTCTGGAGGGGGGTAGACGCCAACACGTGCTGTGCAAGATGCGGAGAACAGGAGACCATCACCCATATCTGGTTCGACTGCCCCTTCACAATATCAGTTTGGAGATCAACGCCGATATCGCCCAACCCGGAGAACCTTTTGTCTGGCATGGACCCTAGAGACATCCTCCGAGCCCTTCACAGCACCAAAATTAGCCCATCGTCTCCCTTGCAAGGGACCCCGATCTATCCCTGGATCCTCTAGTTCATCTGGACCTCCAGGAACAAGCTGGTATTCGAGGGGATGAGCCTCTCTGCACTGGAACTAGTGGACAAAGCAGTCCGGGAAGCAACCGTTTGGCACTCCGCCAACCTTCCACCGAACCCATCTCCCCCGAAGATTAGCTTTCTTCCCACCCCTGCGGTGTCAACCTGTCAGACTGATGGAGCTTGGCATGCACACTCACAAATCGGAGGAATGGGGTGGATCATCCAAAATCCCCAAGGAAAAGTGATCATCAAAAATTCCTCGGTGCGTCATTTCGTATCCTCGGCCATCGTAGCTGAAGCTTTGGCGATCCTAGCCGCACTTTGCGAAGCCGCCTCACTGGAAATCCGACAGCTACACCTTCAATCAGACTCAGAAATCCTCATCAACACCCTCGTTACGGTGTTGGAACGGATCGAGATCGCAGGCATCCTTACAGACATACGGAGCCTTGAACATCTCTTCTCTTCCCTATCTTTCAGTTTCATCCCCCAATCTGCTAACTGTGTGGCAAACGGACTTGCAAAATCAGCTATTTTAGCCTTAAGTCCATTGGGCCCACTGTAAACTCCTTCTTTAATATAAATCTTGGAACAAAAAAAAAAACGGACATGGCAAACAAAATTTGCTGATAAGAATTGTGAATAATCTTTCAACTTAACTACTGAAAAGTGAAAACAAATATAATGTCAAAACTGGTTCATTTGTTATAGAGCATATATGCAAGTATACGTGCTGAAATAAAAAAAGTTATCACTCTTAATGAATATAAATTTTAACATGTAAACTAAAAATGTTTGAAATCGAAACCATGTAAAATAAAAAGAAACATACACCTTTGTGTTTAAAACAATCAACATCCCTATAATTATACTATTATAGTTGATCAATTTAATAGAATGCAAAAGTAAGAAAAAATTGTACAAAAAGGAAAATAATGCGTGGAATAAAGATCAAAGAGTTGCTTTACCGAAGGAGACTGTGACTTAGTGGCGAAATAGAAAGGTTGGTCGTCTTGCGTGTCATCCAAAGTTAAAAATACCTTTTTATTGTTTGTCTGGGTCATATTCTAGATTACATTTTTCCTAAAACAAGTTGGTTTTAGAAAAAAAAAAGCATGTGATGCTGATTTGGGAAATTATGTCACAAATGCAAGAAAGGGAATTTTTAATAAAGACATGCTAAAAGAAGAAAAAAAAAAAGCTAAAGGCAACGTCTAGCTAGCAATATGCAACTATAATCTGTTATTCCGTTCATGTAATTTGGTGAACAAATTCGTAATATACATCATTTCGGCATTTTTGAAGAATTGTGAACATGTGAAGTCTAAAATCCAAAACTTTGAATATTTTGGCAAGCAAAGAGGTTAATTAACAGTTAAGTTTCTGTTTCAGTGAATTCAAGGGTTTGTTATACAACTTATACTTACTCAAGTCTAAGTCTAAGTTAGCACTCTTTATAGAATCTCAATTGCTCAAAAGAAACCAATCAGAACATACCAGATCCCATAGAGGAAAAAGAAAATAGTTTATTGAGCCTTTTTCTGTTCTTATTTTCAACAGCTTTTTGGCATGAGATTATATTTTAAGTTAAAGATCCCCACACACACACACAAAATCCCAACTTTACATGCTTTGAGAATGAAAAGGATACATAATATACTTTTTATTGAATTCAAAAGAAACCCAATTGTTAACATAACTGAAAGCAATTGAAAGTGTGTATCCCACTTGTCACAACAGACAAATTAAAATGAATTAGAAATAAGTAACATTGACCATACGATGTGTATCCCACTTGTACACATTTCTGAACCCGAAACAGGTTTTAAAATCGGAAAGCATTGCAGCCTTACTGTGTTTACTTCGTAAAATATCTGAAAATGTATAATCACTTCGTTAAAAATACATTACACTAAAAAATATTAGGAAAGACAAATACATTCGTTTTTTTATTATGGCATATTTGGTGGGATTTAAGTTTATATTTTGTAATTAGGAAACTTAGATATAGTTAATTGATTGGTGCATTGAATTAGACTAAAGCACCGAGAAACATGCCAATTGTCATCCAGGTCAAGGCTAGTTTTCTCTTTGGCCACACATATAGTATTATATTACAATATAGTATTATATACATATATATGTGTGTGTGTGTAAAGCAAATAATACAGCACAAACAAAACCAATGGTTCTCAATGATTCCACCAACGGAAATCCTGAGTAATTAGCATTTTAATAAATTTAACCTTTTTCTTTTGAGAAAATTATAAGAAAACATATCACATCTTATTTAGAGAAAAATGTGTTATTTTTAATAAGATAGTTTGCTGTTTTTTGCGTGAATAAGATAGTTTGCTATTTAGAAAGATACCATTTCTTAAATTAGTTATTGACCTATAATTTAATAACAGTTAGTAGTGATTTAGTGTAATCATCAATAATTCTGTATACCTAATTTTATGGATGATTTGAGGATGTAAAACTAAAAGTCTAAAACTCCACTATATACATACTTTCTTGTTAGGATGGAATATGCGAATCATTTGTCATAAAACCAACATTCCATTCTGCAGTAACACAGTTACTCAGTTACTCAGTTACCAACATACAAATGGGTATTTCAATCGCATTAGAGATGTATACGCATCTTGGTTCCAAATATTTTTTGGGAACTTTTTTACCGTTATTAGCTAGATTAAAGTTTAAACCTAGACGGAAAAATTTCAATCATATGAAACTAATTCGTATTAGGCTAATATATTTTTTAGCAGTTGATTATATGTAATATAGCATTAAAATTATACGCTTAGAAGTGTAATGATTTGGCATCATTTTTATGCTCTTAGTGCTGTAATTTGTTACAAGAATATATGAATATATATATATATATAAAAGCATATGGTATTTATTATATATATACTTTTACATTTGACTCTTTAATTGTTTTTATAATTTAAAGCCGCCTCTAAAAGATGAAAATGGCGTGTAAAGTGATACATTTTGTTAGTTGTTTTCGAAAGAAACAGCAAATAATGCAAAGCGGAATTAGCCCGTAATTAAACTTTTATTACAACTCAATCTCTATCCATGTGCTGCCTTCTAAAGCAACTACACACGAATATTCTACATACCGCATCTCTCTGTGTGCATGTAAAATGTACATATTACTATTTTCAACGAAACGATCATCATCGTTACATATATAGAGTAATGTTTCTAATGTATGATGAATTTCTTAATTTATAAGTGGTACTGTAATTAAAAGATATTCTAGTAAATGGAAGACAAATGAAGGGACATACTAATATCTTAAGAGATAACAGTTTAATAGTATAATGTTATCATATGAAAACGTTATACAATTTGATACAACCTAATAAATTTAAAATAATATATCATTTACAGGTAGCAAGCAAACCATATAAAATATGCATTGATTTTAGAGATTGAAGTAAATAAGTCACAAATTTAGTGGAAATAAATAATAAATTACGATATAATTTATAAAGGTTAAATTATAACGTATTCATCTGTTTAATAAAATTCAGCACTAACTTGTTGCTAATTGGTCAATCACATTAGCAAAAGTTTTGAAAATAAATACTAAATATATTGATCTGTCATACAGAATATAATTGTAATTCATCAGTTAACCAAAGACTGAACTGCTGACATATTTTAATGCAAAAAGAACTATCTTACTGCTGAATTCATTATAAAATTCAGCCAAAAGCACTTTATTTAATTGAGAGAAGTGATAATGATGTTTATTTTCTTAAAAAGCTAAGTGACAGTAATTTAAAAACCCCTTATGAATAAATAATTATCTGCTAATTACTTCTAAATATATATGTCGAGTTTTTATTTTTTATTTTATTAAAACTCATCACTAGCAAAAACTTTAAATTCTACTAAATTGATCTATTAACTATATTATATATGATCAGAACAATATAGCGTAGTGGTTTGAACTAGTAATTAATGTCTCCGTATAATGTATGTTGACATGTCTTTGACATAATAAAATAAACTCTATTAGGTGTTAGTAAGTCTCATTTACAACCTCTACAATAGGTTGGTAAGAATGTGAAGTTTAAAGATACATTCTTGAGGATATATACATTATTGTATTGAACAATTAATAGAAAAAGTTACTTATAAATTATTCAAAAAAAAAATTAATAGAAAAATAGCAAAATAAATGGAATAAAAGAATTCCCCATTGTGTGCAGACATTTATCATTGTAACGAAGTAGGATGGTTATTGTATTGGAAAAACAAGTGTTTGGCTACTTTTCAATTATCACAAGATGACAACAAATAGTAAAGTTAAGCATGAAAAAGACAGCGTTTGCGTTAGAGACTAAGGAATCTAAAATTAATGTGAAAAGGAACCTATGAAATCACATGGCAATGAGATGATAAGATTCTACAAAGAAAAGATTCGTTTTCCGAAAGAATATTCAGATCCTCCAATTAAGCAAGAACTTGACTTCACAGTCAAAGAAGAGATGCATATATAAGACATAGCATTCGAACGCTAAATCCTCTCGAATAAGCCAAGGTTTCCGGTAAAATTAAACAGTTTCAAATAACATCTATTTTTTGGATAACGCATGTCAACTTATCTGGTAAAAATATTGAAAAAGAATATGGTGCCTAAACCAAATGAATATATTTTTACAATACGTAAAATTATGGTAAAACGGTTAAAATCCATAAAAAATTGAATAAAATGGCGGTAGAACAGTTGAACTGTGGAATCTAAAGGGTTTTCACTAAGAGTTTTACATTATTTTTAGGTTTGTGCTCGTTTGATCTGTTTTGACCCTTTTATAATTAATCTGTTTATATTTCCATAATTATAGAAAGAAAAAAAGCATATAAGAATTCCAAATTCGATTATATCAGGAACCATTTCATATCGACCACACGTAATTTGTGTGCATTTATTTTACGTTAATAAGGATTTGGATTTGAGAATCAAATCTTAACAAAGATAAGAATAGGATGTCGTGTGGTAGAATTAGTACTGTTTGGTAGTATTATATTTTACTGAAAAAGTGAATTAAGACCATCTCCCTTTCATTCCACAAAAACTTGTAAGATGATTTTAATCGTTCAAGCTCGTTGAGAAAATCAACTTATTGTGGTACAGATTTGCATGAAAAAAAAAAACAAAGCAGTGTCTTTAAGAAGATTCTATTACCCGATGTGTGTGATTTACTTACAAACTCACATGCATGACTTTAATAATTCACCACAGAGCTATGGCCACATTTTTCTCATGCTTGGACCACATATATACACTATACCAAGTCCATATATGTAGTTTCAGCTCTAATATAGGAAACTAAACAAAAGATATCAAGAAAAGGATTTTGAGGAATTGATAACCAGGAGGTCATCCGGTAAAACCCTATTAGGGATGGGCGCGGATCGGATATCCGAGAATTTTTTAGTATTTGTGGTTTGCTCCGTTTTTAACGGATATTTAATTTTATGATTTGATTTGCTCCGGAAATATACGGACTGATTTTGAAAGAGAGAAAAATAAATTCAAGAAAAAGACCTAAAAAAATTAGAAAACCCAAAATTCCGGTTACCGGTCAAAAAAATCTTTTATTTTATTTTCTTTTACTTTTTTTTCTTCCACTGACAGAAAACTTAACTTATTAAAAAAGGTAAACTTCTGTTTTTTTTATAAAAACATATATACTTCTCAGAAATGTTTCCATCTGAGTTTGCTTTTTCCCGGGAAAGGGTTAACGTCCATAAGACTAACCCAAACGTCGCTATAAATA